CACTGGAGAAAAGCGTCCCTCCCTTGCAGCCAGACTATACATGGCCGACGATGACTGACCCGCTCATTTGGGACCGAGATGGCAGAGCTGTTTCAATCAGCGCCCGTGGCATGAATCGGAGCATTTAATACAAAGGAACTCTCGCAAGGCCCCTGCCCTTGGAAGGCATCTGCAGGCTTGGCACATCCGTCAGGCTTCAGAGACTCACACTTATTCCCTCAAGCAGATCCCGGAGCTGGCCCTGGCCCTGGCCCTGGCCCATCCCATCCTGGCCCCCCTGTCATTTGGAGCATCTTATCTGAGCGGCAGGCATCCTATGTCATCAGTCCATGGACACCCCTGAGCGGAGAAGTCTGACAGGTGTTGGGAAGTGACTCCCTCCAGAAAGACATGTCAGTAGTGGGCGTAGCCAGCCACGGCTCTCACCTGGGGGCAGGTGACAGCCTGGGGAACGGCAGTCCCACGGAGCCCCGAATCTCTTTCTGGAGCTGTCTTGTGCTGGTCTCGGCTCATCAATAGCAAATGTTACGGCGGTACCAGCCCTTGTAGTTCTTATTATGATTGTAAGATGACCTCAGCAAAAATCGCCAGAAAACCTTGAAAAAATAGAAGTTTATTACTTACAGGCCCTGGAAATGACACAGAGCTCTTGGAGCGAGGGAGAAGAAGGGAAGGAGGGAGAGAGAGAGAGAGAGAGAGAGAGAGAGAGAGAGAGAGAGAGAGAGTCATGAACTCACTCTTCTTCACTGGAGAATTCAAAACATAAGAACTTAAAGTGCCAGAAGACAAAGCCCCATGCGAAGAAGTGGCCTGGGTCCTTATCTCATTGTGTGACTGGCAATGTGCTTATTCCACGTAGCCATCATCAAAGTGGATGCCTTGCCAAGCGAAGGTTAAGTAAGCCACTCGCATTACAAAAAAAAAAAAGAGAAGACTCCACTGGGCTTCAGCACAGAAGCTTAGCTTTGTCCCTTCTTATTACGATTGCAAAACGTCACAGCCACAGCCTGTCCAGGGACAAGGTTCTGCTCAGCTCCGCCAGAGCATACACTCATAAAACACGCACCCCTCCCTGTCTCCCTGGCGCATCGGGCCACTGGAGGGAGCCATGGAGTTGTGAGACTCAGCAACCTTGATTCTGGTCTACAGCCTCCTGGGGGGTACTGTAGGAATTGGCTAGAGAGGGTGAGAGGCAGGATCCCCCATCCACTTCCAGAGAAGGGAGTGGGATGGCAAGATAATATCATATTAACGGTAACGACGGCATTGTTAATAACGATAATAACTATTTCCTATTTATCATGCTTTTGTAGTAAGACTGTACGTCTTGAGAGAGATGAGCCTCTGAGTGACAGGCTAGGGGTAGATGGTGGTGGAAAAGAGTGGACTGAGGAGGAGGCAACTCTCTGGATGACCAGCAGAGGGCACTCTCGCAGGGGCAGGGAATGTCAGGATGGAGGCAGGGACCCACCTGGGAGTCACTGGGCAGTGACACCGACACAAACTCCAGCTTCTGGGGGGAAAATGATCTGATCTCTGGGCTTCAGAGTCCTCATTTGCAAAGTGGAGATCACAGCTCCTACTTTGAATTTGAGGGGAAAAAAAATCAGGCCGAATAAAAACAACACACACACTCACATGCCCGCACAGACACACACCGACGAGGAGAAACCTTGTTGATGGCTCTTCTTCCTGCACATGATCCCTGGAATCCAGCCGCATCTCTAGCGTATTACGCTGAGTGAAATAAGTCGGACAGAGAAAGACAAATACCATATGATTTCACCTGCACTCAAAAGGCTAACCTTATAATTAGCTCTTAGTTCTGCTTTTGTAGCTATGCTTGCTGCATTGGCCGTGGGGCAGGGTGACCTCGAAATCCACTAAAGACTTATCATCCCTTTTGCTTGTTCTGTCTAAACAACAAATGTAACCGCCTGTTACCCATAGCAAACCCCACGCTTTGTAACTATTTGTAACTGCCTGCAACCCAAAGCAACTCCGGAGCTTCCTTACTGTCTAAGGACAAATTAACCAATCAGCCCATGCCAACTGAGCCCTATAAAAGCAAAGTTGCAACTGAGCTCCTCCCCCAGATCTTCACAGCGCTAGCTCCTCTGGGACCGCCGGCATAATAAACCTGAGTTCACCAACTCTCCGAGTGCTGCTTGGATTCTCACCGGTCTGATTTTTGCAACATTTCCGCAACATTTCGTGGAATCTAATGAAAAAAATTAATGAACAAACAAAACGGAAACAGACTCATAGATACGGAGAACAAACTCATGGTTTGCCAGACGAGGGGATGGGGCGGGGGGTGTCAGAAAAGGTGAAAGGATTAAGAAAGTACAAATTGGTAGTTACAAAATAGTCACATGGTTGCAAAGCATAGCATAGGGAATATAATCAATAATATTGTAAAAACCATGTACGGCGACAGGTGGTGACTAGTCTAATTGAGGGGGATCATTTTGTAAATTATATAAATGTCTAAGCACTGTTCTGTACACCTGAAACTAATGTAAAATAATATAGAATGTCAACTGTAATTGAAAAATAAAAATTGGGAAAAAAAGTTCTAGCGATGTGCTATTCAACACAGTGCTGTAGTTAATAGTGCTGTATTGTGCACTTAAAAATTTTAAGAGGGTAGATCTTGTGTTAAATTTACTTACAACCAACCAAAACATGAGGCATGGGGAAACGTTGAGAGGTGACGGATATATTTCTTCTCTTGATAGAGGTCATGCTTTAGACAGGTGTATCCATACGTCCAAACTCGTCGAATTATATATGTTAAATATGTGCCATTCTTCATATGTCAATTATACCTCAATAAATCTGTTAAAAAAATAAATAGAGATGCATCTGTGAGACTCGCCATCACTCCCGCAATGGAAGGGGACCATTACTAGGGACCTGAGCAGGTGGTCAAAGCCTCAAAAAATCTATCGTAGTAATTAATTGACACAAAGTGGTCACACTAACGTGTCTCAAACAATTAACTGGACTCTTTCCAGATAATTTCCAGACACACGTCTCAGACGACCTTTCACCTGATTCCAAGAGCTGTTTAGCTGTAGAGGACCCAAAACCGAAGGGTCGTCACTGTAGAAAGTGGCTGTCACGGGAGGCAAGATCTAGAGGAAGTTTGCACTGTGAGTTGGAAGGCGAGCTCGGAACAGCCTCCCGCCGTTATTCAAGCCTTGGTCCTTGGAAACCTTAGTGAGCGCGCAGGCCAAAACCGAGCCCTACCTTTACGTGGTAATGGAGAAGAACCGGAGACTCAGCTGAGGAGGCGGGCAGAGAAATGCCCGGATGATTTGGAGAATGCTTCGTGGTCAGAGAGACCTGTGCTTCTGTCCCCTTCCTCCACTGCTTAGCAGGGTTTCTGTGCCATTTCGAGGAGAGGCGGCCACTCACTGATAACCTGCCCTGAAGTGCCCAGGTCCCCAGTGCACCAAGCAGGGAGCAAAGATCAAGACATGGGCGGGCAGCCAGGAGCAGCTCTTGCCTTCCCAGTCCCTTGGGGAGTGATCGATGTCCTGTCTGGACGGGGGTGCCCCTTCTGAAAAACAAGGAAGTGAGCAAATCTCCCAAGACAACCTGGCCGTGACAGAGAGCGTGCCTGAGCTTCCTTGACGTGCACGCACACCGAAGCCACCTCACTTTCCTGTGGGGACGTCCTCTTGACCCTACAGCTCTGGATTCCGTGAAAGAGGAAAAACTCGACATCAGACCATTCTGGAAAAGGCTAAGGCCTGCCTCGTCCCAGAGCTGCAGCCGGGGGCCAGCTGGTGGGGCAGGTGGTGCAGGTGGCTGAGGCCAAGCCTCTCAGTCCCCGGGGGCCAGGCGGAGCACCTGGATTTCAAGCTGGG